AAGTCTATGAAGATCACGACTGCGTTATGTTTATCCTGTTGTGTTAGTCTGAGAAGTTCATTGATTAACAAAATGTTATCTTGGATCCTGCGCCCTTGGACAAAACCAGTTTGTGTTGGGTGAATAATATCTTTTTCTTCCCTTTTTTTGTACAACAATGTGACTACGCTGCTACTCAGTAGATTTCCCAATCCCCCCTTAAGCCAGGTGTCATTGTAGAAGTTCAGCAGATCGCCCCCTAAGAGTGGCCATAATTTTTCCCAAAATTCTTTTGTCAGCCCGTCGATTCCTGGTGACTTATTGTTGTTCATACTTTGGACAACACCTTGCAATTCTTCCAAGGTGATAGGTTTGTCCATAACTTCTGCTTGTTCTTGAGATATCGTTTGTTCCAGGTATTGTAGCATCGTAGTCCGTGCCTCTCTGGTCTTGGGCGGAGTCACTGTTTCAGTTGGACTTGAGAGGGTTTTCAGGCTTTCTATCGCGTTAGCCCTTGAGTTTGCTTTGATTATTGCAAAGAAGTGTTTTGACATTGACTCACTTAGCTCATATCCGTTCATTCTAGCTCTTATTTGTAGTCCCTTCAATTCCCACCATTTCCACATAGTGAGTTCTTCTCTTGCCTTCTCGAAAATATCCGTGCAAAGTACAAAAAAGGGGTTATCAATCAGATTTATCTCTGCGATCTTCATGGATGTCTTCAACGCTTGCTTCCTCTGTTTCCTGGCGGTCGCTAATTTCCTTGAAATTCTATCAACCGTCTGTGACAATGTGGAGTAGCTTTCCTGAAACCACTCCCACCAATCTTGTATAGGTAGGTAGGCACCCCTCAAATTTTGCCAACACTCTTGAACTCCTGCCTGAAAAATCTGGCTCGGTAGGAGGGAGTTGTTGAGTTTGTGAAAGCTAGACCCTTTTTTGACATGTTGCTCGAAGCTGATTATGAGTTCGATGGGTTTGTGATCCAGACCCGGGTACGGTGCAAGGGGCAGAATCTCAACGCTTTTGGTTGTCCCCATTAGTGTCCCTGAGATCAAGTAGTCAATGAAGAAGAAAGCGGTGTGGTGGGCATGGCTCTTTTTAACCAATGTGAAGGCTCTTGTCCCCGGATGCAAAGTAGCGTATGGTTCAACTAGACTGTAGTCCAACATCAACTTTTGGATAGGCACCGCCTCCTGTGTGAGCTGACCAGTCGAGGACCTCTATATACGATCCGTGGTGGGATCTATAGTTACGTTCCAATCACCGGCCAAAATGCATGGCGACAAAGGGGGGATCAAATGTCCGATGTTTATTATAAATGTTGATCTGACTGAAGAGCTGTTTGGTGAATATACATTGATTATTCTTAAATATTCCTCCTTCCACTTTACATCCATAAGGCACCATCTACCGTCTACTGTGTTCGCTTCTTTGCCCACTATCGACCCTGCCGTATATAGTTGGGAAAATTTGGGTATAAGGATGGTTGTTCCTTTCGTGCTTGATGTATTATCTGAGGACCATATTTCGTCCTTCATTCCTCCCAGTTTCCTTGATAAGAATTTTTGAATTTTGTTGTGTTCTGCTGAGTAGGTGAGCTGAGTTTCTTGCAGCAATATGATATCTGCTAGTTTATTTGTGTAAACGGTAAGTCCTTCGATTATCTCATTCATTTTTTTTCTTCTTTGTCGACAATGTTTCCAAGGCCATTAATATTCCAGCTCCTAATGACTACACCTTGTGTCTTCGAGTCCACCCGATCTTCCTTTACGTTTGGCCCCTTTCTAAAAGTTTCCATCATTGAGGCTACAGGGAATAGGCAGGGGTATACTCATAAAGACAACCTAGGAGGAGGCCTGATCGCTCGCGTCCATCCCTGATGACGCATCACCCGGCGGGTGCATCTATCTTGTATCTCCTACACTTCCACCGATTCCCTGTCCGGGGCCAGCTTTGAACCTGCTCCCTCGCCCTCATCTTGCCACTCCTCCATATCACTCTCGGAGTAATCGCTTCTTTAATATGTGTCCAAATCTATGGTGAACGCTCTTGAGTCCAGATCGCTGTCTCCCTTCAGAATCCCAGAAGTCAATAGGTGTGCCACCGAGACTGCCAACAGTTCCGCTGGAATGTCCGGTCCCGCCAACACTTTGTACGGAATCGACGTCACTGTCCTCCAAGCCTCCACGTCATCCCACTCTTCGGCTTGGTTTCCTCTGACAGCTTTGCGATCAGGGAGGAGAAGGCCCAAGGGGAGTGCCTCTCTAGGTCCATAGGATGGTCTTGCTGGTCCTCCTGGCCGGCTTGGGAAGATTTGTCCTCCTGACCAACGTCCTGAGCAACTGTTTCGTACACGCCCAGTGGGAACCCCTTTGTTACCTTTTCTTGAAGAATACTGGCGACATTTTGTCCTTCCTCAATCCTTGGGATTGTGAAGGACACATCTGTGGCGATCTACCATTCTCCCTCTTTCTCGACATACCTGGCCGCAATCAGTGGTCGGGTGGCCATCAATGTCAGTCGTGCTGATTTGGCCGAGGCCACCACATGTGGTGCCTCCCCATTGGCGATGTGTTGAATGGTAGTGAACTCTGGTGTGTACTCTGCGTTCCACTTAATTAGTTTTTCTGTTTGGGCCACGACCACAACCACTTCTTTTTCCAATAGTGAGCGTGCTGATCCCTCTTCTGCCTCTGTTTGATCTGCGTTTCGTTCCGTCTTTCTCTGATTTTTCCGTGTCTTCCATTCCTTTGGCCGCAGATCCTGAAAGTGGTCTTTGGTGTTGAGGACTGTCTTGTCCTTGTTTGCTAACCCTTGTTCTCTTGCCCTCTTTTTTTCTGCATATCTGAAAGCAGTGTTTTCAGAGAATTCCTCTGCCTTCTCTTTCTTTAGTGTGTCATACTGATTTTTTGACTTTTCAATGCCAGCGATTGTCCAATTCTTCCCATTTTTTCTGCGATCTCTCAATGTGCTTCAGACAGGCCGCTCTGATTTCAAAAGCGTGCTCTCTCTCCCTCTTGGCCTTTTCGATGTATTCCCTCAACCAGTGAAGCGACCGTTGGGACTCTGATGCATTGTCTGTGGCTGTCTCACCTGTCCCTTCCCTGCCCTTGCTTGCTTTGTTGTCTGCCCCGTCATCTAGGGAATCAGAACCCGTAATTCTCCTTCCCTCTTCTGCATGTGTCTGTTTTGTCCCCTTCTTCTCCTCCAAATTCATTGCCTTCCTTTTCTTGATACCCATCTCTGTCATTCCATCGACGTCATCCAGCATGCGTTTGTTGTCTGTTTGTGGAAAGGGAACTGTGGCTAGGGGAGAGTAGGCTAATGGAGTCGTACCGGGATTGGGGATTAGGGAGAGAATGGGGTTAGGATGGGCGACTAATATACTACTGTCCTGTAGCCGTGAGTGTTAGTTGGTGTCCAAACGGGGGGCGGGGAGAGCAGATAGGACGAGATTAGGGTGGGAGTAGGTTAGTTTCAAAAGGAAATCGCTTAGGTCATCTCACAACAGATTCAGGTTCGCCTTTCCTTCAAACATATATAGTCGCAAATGCAGTCTCAAGTCACCGCTGCCGCTTCTGAATTCTTTGCACCACTGTCCTTTCCTCTGGTATGTACTGCTGCTCTCGACGAAATCACTTCTCCAGTCCGCTATAATGAACCTGGCTGGCTTCTAGCCCCTGGGCAAGATCTCTCCTCTTCCGAAAAAAGAAAGGGAACCTACCTTAGAAGTTGCCTTACAGCTAGACAGTAGATCTTGACCTGGGCTTGATGTGCAGCTCCTCTTGTCTCTTTATGGGGCTGTTTATCACTATCTGTTTTGATGTTTTGAAGGCCGTTTCGCTCTTTTTCCGTAATTGGAAAAAGGTGCTATGAGACAAAATAGGGCTAGATTCTCTTTTGTAGCTTTGAGAGTCCATCCAATCATCTCGCCCTTTTTCCGTAATTGGAAAACGGTTGAGAAGGACAAGTCTTAGGCCTAGATCCTCTCCTTAGATTCTCTTCTTGGCTTTTTCATTTTTTTCACCTCCCCCTCAGATCCCGCCTGTCGTATCTAGTCTCCTGCTGCTCTATACTCCGATTCGTCCTCTTCAGCAAACGATACTGCCCGTCCTCTTATGTAGTTCCTCAACAGTGTACGGCTAGATAAGCTTCCTTCGTTGTTACCATCTGCGTGAGCCCTTGATAAAGAACCTCTCTCTAAACCTCTTCTGTTGGCCTACGGGATCGATCCCGCTGACAGCCCTCTTCGAGATCGATGATATTCTATATTTCGTCTCCAGCTGCCCTAGGCGCCTAGGCGCTGAACATCGCAACGTCTCCTCCCATCCCGACGTTGCGCGCTTCCGAGCGATGGCCGAGGCACTGGGGCTCAGGGCGATGGTCCACGCGGCACCTTCATAGCGCTAACCAAGCGGCGCGAACGCATCTCCTCGAAATCAACTTTTCTAAAATTTTGAGATTTCCAAATTTTCAAAACCTCCCAAATCTGCTGCATGTGTCCGTCTTCCTGCCCCTCCGCCCACGTACTCGACCTGGGACCATGCAAATGTAAAACCAATTGCTTAAGCACAGATCGTGGAGTGCGAGAATGGCAAGAAAACAAAACCGCCAAACCCCAACTTGGCATCACGTTCTCCGGTTCCTGATCCTTTTTCCTCAACTAGCCGTGTAAGCAAGGACTGCCCACATGCTTCTCAGTGCTCTATTAGGCACAGCCTTGGCCAAATTGGCCAAGGCACCTAGAGAGAGTAGTCTCTCTCTCTCTCTCTCTCTCTCTCTCTCTCTCTCTCTCTCTCTCTCTCTCTCTCTCTCTNCTCTCTCTCTCTCTCTCTCTCTCTCTCTCTCTCTCTCTCTCTCTCTCTCTCTCTCTCTCTCTTTCTTTCTTTCTTTTCCAGGTCTGGTGTTTCTTTGTCTGTTTTCCTGCTTGTATGTCCATTGATTCGTCTCCTCCAGTCTTTATGCTGGCTCAGTCTATTTATCTGTGTGCATCTGTGTCGGTGTCTCTGGCAATGCAGGTTGCGCACCATGTCCACAACCAGGCACGTATTTCATGACGACAAGGCCATGCAGATGCCGGATTCCTCTCGAGATTTGGCTGTTGTATGCATCCGTTGTCTCTCCTTTCAACAGCACACAATTCCAACAAAGCGTGGCCTCTCAGTTGGGAATCAATACTGGCGAAGTTGTTGAAATACACGAGGTGAGTTCATCCACAGCCATGATCAAGGGTTACTTATCCAAAAGTAAAACCTAACTAGGACGATTTATTATCCCTGACACATATTTCAAGTCAAGTACATCAGGGGGCGAGACCCATCACTGATGTCCAAATGGTTATTGTATGCCCCGGGAACGGCAGGGAGACACCCCCCACTACAGACACACACGGTTAGATGTCACTCAAGATTGGACACTCAACCTCAGTGCCCTGATATGGGAACGTACGGCGCTCCCTACCTGCCAGCAGCATGGGTACCGCACTCCCGAACTCTTGGGCAACAGCTCACACCAAGGACAGCACGCCTCCCGGCATTGCTGACTTCACAAGGCCAGCTTCAGCTAACAGAACTAATACTTCTCCGAGGACCTTGAATTTTGGCCGGTGGGAGTGCACTGATTCAAGCGCTGCTGCAGGTCAAAGTAGAGATCCGATAAGATAAGGCTGGTAGGGACAGTGGAGGTCCCTAGTAGCCAGTAGGGAGGGAGTTCCCATATGTCCAGTTGCAGCTCATAACAGACCGAATCTCTGTTGACTCCAGCAGGTCTTGGCAGGAGAGGATCAGGACTCGCGTGGGAGGAGGCAGGCAGATGTACAGGGCAGTGCCAGGACCTGCCTCTTGTTCGATTCTGGCTTATGCGGAGGGGCTGCTGCTGCACTGGGTGCCAAGATCTTGAAGCGGTAACAGTGCCTGGCCAGAAGTAGTCGACGGCGCTGAGCGCCATAGCTGTGAGCTAGCATAGAGAGTGAGTGGGAAGAGCAGACAGGGCATCCAGGGATTGATTGCAGAACCTGGGCGTGCATTTCAGTAGCACAGAGAGAGAGAGAGAGAGAGAGAGAGAGAGAGAGAGAGAGAGAGAGAGAGAGAGAGAGAGAGAGAGAGAGAGAGAGAGAGAGAGAGA